CCAGGGTGATTTCACTGGAATCTGTGGGACCCACCATGTCACCCACACAGGCCAGGTGTCCCTCATCTGGAAAGCTTGGGCCCACGGGTTGTAGATTTCTGAGGTTTTTGGTTTTGGAATGTTTGCATTTATACATAACAAGCGGCCTTCGGGAGGGGACCCGAGTCTCAAGGCAGAATTCAGTTCTGTTTCAGATCCACCTTCCGCGTGTGGCTTGATGCCGTGTCAGACACTGCTGCAAAGGATTTGGGGCCCGCAGCGAGGTTGCACGGTGTGGGTTTTCCCATGTGGGGCTTCATGTGGGCGCTCTCAGTTTCAGATTTTGAACTTTCTGGATTTCAGATCTCTGGCTTGGGGACCCTCCTCCTCTGCTGCTGCGCCCTGCTGCCCCGTGAACCCAGGAGCAGACCTGCGCATCTCCTGCACACACTGTCACGGGGGAGGCAGTGGAGACTACGAGGGCCAGCACGCACCAGGGCCACTACGCAGCGCTTGCTGCGCTCGGTGGTTGGTCGTTGCATTAGTTCACTCAATCCTCATGCCAGCCTTTTGGCAACATAATGGCACCAACCTGTACCCATCGGCGACAGCTTCTTGCTGTGGGGTTGTCAAGGCTCCCAAATGAATAATGAGAAAAAGTGAAACCAAGAGAAAGTGGCCTCAGCCTCAGCGCTGGCAAGGCCAGGAGCCAGGCTGGCTTAGGGACCGACTGGTTTTGATAATGGAGTCAGTGCTCTAGGTCGCTGTCCTCTGGCTGTCTGCTGTCCGCTGTCCCCCTAGTGGGGGAAGTATGACCTTCTGCACTAATTAGGGAGGAAACTTGAGTTTTGATTGATTCCTTGTGAAATAGCTTAGGTCCTCCCAAGCCCGGTGGCCATAGGCTGTGCTAAAGCTCACCGCCAGGGGGCAGCTTCAGGAAGCCGCAGCCTTGCTGGTACTGACCCAGCCCCTCCTTAGCCCTAGGCCAGGCAGCTGCTAGTGACAGGGCCAACGCAGTAAACTTGTTTCCTCCCGCTCCACTAACACTGTTGAATACTGCTCTTTGATCAGACTGGTCTTGCACTCATTATGTAGCCCAGGATGGCCTCAAACTAAGGGTGAACCTCCTGCCTCAGCCTCCAGACAGCTGGGGTTATACATGCTTGAGTTTCGCCTTGCATTTTATGTCAATGTACACTTAGCATAAACGGTGTGTATTAGGGCAACGCTAGCTGTATGACCCATCGGCGTCCATGGACCCAACACCACCGGGTATCTCTCTGCCAGGTGTCAGTGCAATGCCCTGGTCACAGAGTGGTACCACTGGGGAGGGGGAGGGGCCCAGTCTTCTTTTTTCTGAGGCCTGCTCATCTCTGGGGGTGTGCAGTCCCATTTCTAGCGGGGTCACTGGAGATGCCTGTTTACTGTCTGAACCACCTGTGCTGCAAGTGACAAAGCTCACGGTGCTTCGGGCCCATTGTCCCTTGGCCCTGTTGATCCTAGGGAGGCTTTGGCATGGGCCCAGCGGGACAGTGCCTGCCAGTTCCCTTTGGACAGAAGTGTGAGGACACCCAGGGGGCTGTTAGCCTCCTCCCTGTAGGGTAGAACAAGTGCTCGCTGAACACATTTTCCACTGGACAACCTGCTTGCCGTACAAATGTCGCAGTTGCAGGTCCCTGTCCAGACCTCACCTCACTAGGGCAAGGAGTTAGAGCGTCAGCTAAGGCCCAGGCATGAGCTGATTTGAGTGGTGGAGTCAGGCAGCTTGGAGGGGAGGTTGCAGCAGAGCCGTAGGCTCCGAGTCACTTGTTCAGATCCACAAGGGTTACTCCTTTCTGCATGGGCAACTTGACCTCCCTGCGGCTCAGTTCTTTTACCGGTGAAGCAGATACCCTGGCACCCCCTTGCAGGTCTATGCTGCTTAGAGGTGGCTTTGAACTCGGTTGTTCCAAATTCGTGTTTGAACACTCACAAGTACAAGCATGGAACATACTTTTCCTATAAGAAATGATGGAATATCAGATAATTGGTTCTGAGGCCCGGAGTTACACTTACTAATTAAGACTTCGCGGTGATTTCTCTGCTGTAGTTCTCACAGTTCTCCTCTTAGCTTCACTTCTAGTGTCACTAACTTTCTTTGGAACCACGGCTATGATATTTTGTGCAAATGAAGTGAAAATTTAATAATAAGAAAAAAACCCAGGGGTGAATGTCTGAACACACTAAGGCAAGCACTGTATGTGGTCCGTGGGAGAGCGGCACTTAGACTGAGCGTCGCCCTTCGTGCCTATGGTGAGGCATGGCGTGTGACTCATTTTCGGCTGGTCCAGGTGTTCTCAGGATGGATTTGCAGTTGACTACGGAGCAAAGTTACAAACAGAACAGATTCCTACTGTGCTGTTCAAGCGGCTGAAAGTTTGCGTTTGGAGCTCCTCAACAAGCGAGGTGCCACTGTACGGTATAAAGGAGATAAAAGGTAACTGGAATTATAGTTTTTGAACAAAGATTTCCCAAGAAAGCAAGCGTGCCCTCTAGACAACACGCGCAGTAAAGGCCAGGTGATGATATACAAGCCGGAGGGCAGAGTGCTCGTCAGGCTTTGAGGTGCAGATGTGAAAACTGCATGCAGCCCCAGCAATCGGAGTCTAACCACACAGCCCGACCACCCGCTTGCCATTGTCCTGAATTCCAGTAGGAGCCATGGAAGAAAACCAAGTATAATATTAGTAACTGCGGTGGGCTGAGCGTGTGTGAGACCCCTTCGGCCTCATACCAACCCTTGGAACATGTTACCACTTCTGATGCCACGCACGTCATCCCCGTGGCCGCTGTAAGTGAACTGTGGCTTAGGAGGAATTGTTCTGTGAGCAGCACCATGCCTTGCCCAAGGGGAGTTCTGCCTAGGGATTCAGGCTACAAAGGAAGCCCTGGCCTGGGTGTGACTGCACGTCCCTGTTCCTGCCCCTGCCCAGGGGAGGAGAGGGAGCCTGGCCCCAGGGCAGGGCCGGCAGGGCCTTGGAACTGGACCACTGGGTTTAAGTGCTGACACCGCAGTTGACGAGCTGGGTCATCTCAGGCCAAGAACTCCCCCTTCCTCACCTGAAAACAAGTACCCTAGCAGCTTGCGAGGGCGGTTTGTCCTAAGACCCCGATACCCGGGCGGGCAGCAGCGGTTCACTCAGGAACACTATCAGGAAACACTGAACCTCCCCGGATTCGCCGTTTCCGGGTCTGTTTGGGCACCCATACGGGCTGCCTCTATTCGCCCGCACTGTCACGGGTGTCAGGCAGGGATGCGGGAGTGGGTCCACTGTGAAACAAGCGCACTTCACTTCCACTGCGGGCCGCAGCTGACCCCTGGCGATGTGGCTGTAGATTCCTACGACGCCATTCCCGGGGTGGGAAGGGACTAGGAAACACTTGGCGCCCTGTTCCAGTGACACTGTGTCCCTGCAAAAGTCCTGCGCACTTCCATTTGAAGAGGAATCTGAAGGCCTGAGGATTGCGCCATCTGATGGGGTCACCTAGTGGGTTCCCTGGGGACCAGGGCTCCACCTGCAGACTGTGACCCTGGACCACAGCGTCTGCAAACTAGGACCCTTGCCTGGCCTCCGGAGGGAGCAGGAGGATCCCACCAGGGCGGGCGCCAGACGCGGATCAGCGCAGCCTCCGCGCTCATCTTCTGGGATTGCATGGGGGGGCGGGCCGAGAGGCTGCTGCCAGGCACTGCCGAGAGCTGGAGGGCGGGCGGCGGCGCGTGGTGCCGGCTTGCGCGACATGCTGGGCGCGTGATTTTCGCCGGTGGGTGCGCACAGCACGCCAGACACCTAGCGAGGCCCTTCTGGAAAGGAAGGAAAGAGCAAGAGCAGGAAGAGGGATGGGGATGTAGCTCAGTGCAGAGGCCCTAGGTTCAGTCTTCAGGGGAACAAAAGAAAAACCACTCCGAGCGTCCTTTCCCCTTTGTTTTTCCAGGCTCTCTCTTAGGGGAAGGCGGGCTGGAGCGCGGGCGGTTACCGCCCAGCTCCAGGCACGCTCCGGGCCCACGGGGCCCGAGGGGGCCGCCGGCCGCTCTGCCCGCGGCCTGGGTTCAGTCCAGGCAGTGTCCCTTTGTCCCCTCCAATAGCGGTCTCGGCGGCCATGCGCCCCAGCTCCGCTCCCCTGGCGCCCTCTCCCCGGGTCCCGGGGAGGAGGAAGGACGCTGGGCACCGCGACCGCGCTGCCTTCCCCTGGCTGTCACGGAAGCCGAGCGGAGGCGGCCTACAGCTTC